ATTTATTTAAATCAATATGAGATAAGAATTTAGATATATTTATGTTTGCAAACCAAATTATTTGAGATAATTATTCCAAGGTATTTAAATGAATCGAAACATCAAGTAAAATAGTATTTGTAAATTTCCATTGATATATCTGAGCTTGCAGGATAAATGAGACTTCCTCTAGTTAATTCGGTAATCTGATGATGTAAGCAAACCAACCATTAATATATTATTAATGTATTTGGATATATAATTTTCATAATTAAAAAAGTTTGCTCTCGACTCCAACCACTTTTATGCCCAATATAGCTTATCAGTACCTAATTATACAAGAAGATAATTGTCATTCTTGAAGATTCAAAGAAGTATCTTGATGAGGAAATAATTCCTTTTGTACTGACCCTGACCAAATAATTAAAATATCACATTTTAATCCAATTAATAAGGAAGAAAAACCATGTTTGGCCAAGATATAATCCAAAAATTTTCACTGAAATATGTACAAGGCTTTGTTTACATCCAACAAGACCTGATTATTTCAATTTTCTATAAAGAAAAACTAGTGCCAATATATCAAAGGTTTGTTGCTCTTTTTCAAAACCAGGCTGTTTAGAATCAACAATGAAATGTAATGGTGTCTGTAATCTATGTGACAAGATTCACTGCCAAATTTTGGCATTAATATTTAAAAAGGAAATTGGACAATAGTTTGCCTGGACAGCAGAATGTTTGTGGCCTTCAAAATTACAGCTATATAAGCTTCATAAAAGGAAATTTTTAAAAAAGCTAATGCAACTCAGAGAGGTTAGGCAGCTGGTGGAATTACAGAAGGATATGAAGATTAAGGATAAGACATGGTTACTGAAAAAATACAAGTGTATCTGGAGTCTAGAGACTGCTGGACAAAGGCTCATAGCACTGGCTATCAGGCTAAGGAGATATATTAAAGAAGCAGAGGTCAAGAAGATAAATGCTCTGTTCTCCAAAGAACCATCCAAGATGTACTCCCAACTGCAGTGCAAAAACACAGTAGCCACAGAGGTACCAACAGCAGAATAGTACTGGAAGAACATATGGGAGAAAGAGAAGACACATAACACCAGTATAAAGTGGCTGTAGGACTTCAGAGCAGAGCACAGTAATTTTCCAGAACAGAAACCAATCACCATCACAGTAACAGACTTCTAACAGCAGATCAAGAACATGAAGAGCTAGATAGCACCTGGTGTGATGGACTGTGCACCTGGAGGAGCAGTGAAGAGTTTTGGTAGACAGAGCTTTCCCAGGGAGTACATTCCATCAGGGAGAAGTCAAATCAAGAGACTGCACAATCTCAAGCTAGATGGGGGAGGGGAAAGAGTTCAGGGTGCCACCCCCCACATTCTCCTAGGATATATCTACTAGGTTAGGTTATATATTTAACCATGAAAAGATTCTACCCATTAGGTAGAAGAAAATAAAGATAGGACTCGACTGGATTTTATCGTGTCACCTTTTTTCTTTTAAAATGTGATTAGCCCATACTGTACACAATGCACAGTTTTATGCAAGGGAATAAGTACTTATGGTCATCCAAATATTGCTGCACCGCTAGCATCCTTCATCACTCAGTAATATTTGGTGACCCACAGATCTTAACTCCTGCTATATATTTACCAAAAACCAATCATCTCCCCAAGATAAAAGGGAGCATGCATAGTCACAACCCAAGAGGGTATCTGGGGATATATACATAATTCAGTGGGGGGGACAGATCATTTCACAGATTATGTGCTATCAAGTTTTTGACTCCTAGCGATCATATAATTTTTCTCCTTCTCCATCTCATAAATGGAAGACCAATATAGCAATAGCACTTAGACTTATATCAGGGGTCCCCAACCCCCGTCCATGGACCAGTACCGGACCGCAGGATGCCAGCAATCGGTCCACACAAACAAGCAAAGCTTCATCCATGGGATGCAAGCAGCACACAAAACTACACATTCTTCGGTCCGTGGAAAAACCTTTCTCCATAGAACCGGTCCCTGGTGCCCAAAAGGTTGGGGACCTCTGACTTATATACTGCTTCACAGTGTTTTGTAAGCTGCTTACAGAATCAGCATATTGCCCCCAACAATTTGAGTCCTCATTTTACCAACCTCAGAAGAATGGAAGGCTGAGTCAACCTTGAATGGTTCAGAATTGAACTCCTGGAGTGAGCAGTGAGTTAGTCTGCAGTACTGCATTCTAACCACTGTGCCACCACGACTCTTCCACATATACACCTTGCTTCTTACTGCTTTTTATTCTAATGATAGTGAACAAAATTTCAGTACTGCCAAATCCAGAAACTGCACAGATGCTTTTATCAATAGAGAAATATTTTCAAGTATTAAATCTCTAGGCTCAAAAGAAAATATTGCAGGTTGAACTACAACAAACAATGCTTCTATGTACTATAAGAATCCAGTTTTAATGTTAGATTAGTTCCGGAAAAAACAATATCCAATCTCTATTTAGTACTATGAGCCATGGCACAGTCAACCCTCAGCCCAAATTTTCATCAAAACCTTGTTGCAAAACCAATAGGGAAACAGAAAAAATTTGCAAATCACTTTGAAATCTTAAAAGATTAAATATATATTTAAAAATTTAAAAAAGAAACATACATCAACTTATCCAAGGATTATTAAGTTCTGGATAAAAAAATTCAGATGGCGTTAAGTTTATAACTACACTGTTTGACCCATACATGCAAAAAAGCCTCTTTTATCACCATTCATTCGGGATTCGCATATTTTTTTTCTCTGCAAGTTGGTCCATGAAATGAAATAGTATGATGTTCAATTATATATTCTTATATGGCAAATTTTTATATAATCTTCAATAAGCTTATTTTTGGGTTAATTCATATATGTATCAGAAATCCATATAATTACATTGCTTTAACACAGAAATACAGTTGTATATTCTTAAACTATAGTTGCCTACAAGTTTTCAGCAAAATAGGCTGCACTTCAGAAAATACTAAATTATAGCTAGAAAGCCAGTAAACAAATCTAGCTACAAAGATTTAAGAATCAGTATAAGAGGAACATGACATCAGTGACTGTGTAAGACAGGCATGTCAAACTCACGATGTCACGTGATGTCGCGCAACGTATCGGAACTTTTTCCCTATTGCTGGCAATGGGGCGGGCGTGGTTTTGGCGTGACACATCCGGCCCACGGGCAGACAGTTTGACATGTCTGGTTTAAGATGTTCATCATATAATTCTAGGGCCTTTTGTGTTAAGTATAAAATATCAGTCAGTACTATGGTAGAGATGCTGAGAAGACACACTCTCTAAATAATAGATGCAGCAAATAGAAGCCCCAAGATTCTAAATCAGGAAATAGTGATAAATACTTCTGAAAGTTTTTAAAAAGATATAAGGAATACGTTAGACATCATCCTTTTGAATTAATGGAATTTGGAGACTTTACAGAGTACAAATATCAGATCAATACCTGAATAGAATACATGATGTTCACAGAGGACAAGAATGGAGCACTCTCACTGAAACAGTTCAAACCAACTTATAGGGAAAATCAGGAATTCAGTGAATTCATGCCTGCTTACCCTTAGACAGGATATAAAATAAGAAACAGCAACAAAAAGAGACTTCCTCGGGTTAAGTTTGACTTGTGATGCTATGGGAATATGTTCATGTGGCTTTCTTTACAACAGAATAAAAGGGGATTTCCATTATCATCTTTAAGGATGATTTTTTTTAAATTCCCTAGTCTACTCTATAGCCCTGGAGTTTCCTAGTGGTCTCTTATCCAAGTACTAATCAAGTCCAATTGGTTTTTTTGAGATCAGCTAAGATCAGCTAGGTGCTGCCACCTGCTGTGGGCAAAACATAGAAGCCTTTTCATATAAGTTCTATGGTTAACTTCAGAATGACTTAAATTTTTACAAGATTTGGAGGAAAGTAACACAAGTAGATCTAATGATAAACTAAAGCTGTTCCAGTAAGCTAAGTACGGTAGTGCACTAGGGAAGGATATGTTTTCCCCCATACTTATCATTTCCTCTTATCATTTACAGTGTTTTGCAGAACTTCTTGCACCCTGTATTTAATATAATCCTAAACTAAAACTGTATATTTTTTTTATAAACTTTGGAAAAATATTAAAATAGCAACTAATATATTCAGGGCAGAGAGTAAATAAGAACATCATTCTTAATGCTATTTCAATTAGCCAATACATTGTGTTGTGTTGGAAATATCCTTAAAAAAATACATTAGCAACAGCCCCACCTATAAACGAGGGAAAGCGAAAGACATGCCTGATTAAAAACCGCTTACCCCAAATGCAGGAACCTGGTTCCTCCGGATAGTTTGAACAACTCCCACAATCCTTTGCTATTCGCTAGGCTAAGCGGGACTGATGGGAGGTGAAGTCCAAACCATCTGGAGGGCATTTGATTATCTTTCTCATCTTACGTATGCTTGGGCTGAGTACCGAGCCCATAGTTCGCTCCTCGTCGCTCAGCCTGCTCTACAGGTTGCTTGCTCCGAGTAGCTGCAACCAACCCGAGTGCAATCGTTTACTGAAATCGCTGAGGTGGGAATGATTCGGAATGGAAAGTGCTCGGCTCAGACACGGCCTAGCTCCAGCTTCCCGCGCCCTAAGTTCATGAGAAGACTGGCTCATTTCCCGCAGGGAGCACTTTTCCCGAGTAGCGGCCCCACCCGTGCACGCCAGGAGTCGCCGCTTCCCCATCTCAAGCACATCCCGGAGCCTCAGCGCCATGAAGCGGCAGCCCCGGGGAAGTGAAGGGACGCCCAGGCCAGGAGTCTTTCGCCAGGATTCATCTTCCAGAAAAGGCATTCGACCTCAAGGCCTCCAATCCCAGAAGAAAAGAAAAGGCCAGAATGCGGCGCAGAGGTCAGAGCCCGGCGATGCAGGGCCCGACAAAGCAAAGACGGCCCACGGCTTCTGGGGTGTAGTCAGCGGGCAGAGGACCCCTCGGCGCTTACCTGCATCGAGATGACCGGCTGACATGTCTGGGGTAAAGGCAGCCGCTCCGCCCTCAAGCGCCCGGTTCCATAGCGCTCGCCGGGAGTGAGGGGAGAGAGAAATCGAACGCTCCGCTCAAGTCTCTCTGGACACTTCCGGCCGTGTTAAAAAACTCACGCCCGAAAACCCGACATTCATCCCATCCAACACGCACGCGCCTTGACAACATTCCCCGCTGCCGTGCTAAAGAAGTTCTTTCTACCCTCGACGCTCGCTCTCAACCGGAAGTACGTATGAGCGTGACATTTCCTTTGGAAGGCGGGGGGGAGGGGAGGGGACGGAGGGAGGGAGGGATTTTGAAAGTTTTGCGCTGTTCGCGTTACGCCGCTCGCTTTGCTCGGCCCTCTTCCTTATCCTCAGGATGTCGCATTTAAAGGAGCTGGATTTATTTTGATGACTCGGGATGCCTACGGCTGCCGCTCCTAACTCTTCCCGCAGTCATGGACCTTAAATTCCCAACCATGGAACCGTGTCATCCCGAGCAGGTTCCAGTGCTGACTATGGATAATGTAGACTTGCTGCCCTAAACAACTGGAGAGGGATAGGTTGGGGGGGGGGGAAACGGACTGCATTACAACCGACGGTGTAACTCCATTGTCACTCTTGTCATAGTTTACTGCAGTGTTGTTCAATCCCAGCAACGTTACGATATGTGGGCTTCAATTCCCAGAATTCCCTAACCTGCCATGGGAAATGACTCCTACTTACACAGAGAGGATTTTTATTGGAGGAAGAGAATGAGGTGATTGTCCAAGCTTCCTCATGTCAATAAGAGGTTATGTTATCTGCTTTATTAAGGCAGGAAGTAACATGAGCTTGTTTCTCTACTCGTGAGGAACTGCAAGATGGCACCTCAAGCAGTTGATTTAAAATATTTTAAAAGAATAGCCAACACGAGTTGTTTTCATTCCCATGGATCTTTTTTCTAGAACTAGCCCTGCCTTTGAGTTAATACATATATACTAACAGCTATTGAGATTATTTCAGATGGACACCTGGACAACAGTTTAAAACAGTAAGACTTATTTAGATCTGCACCCTTGTTATTTACAAATTTCTTAAAGAGGAAATTGCCATCAGAGTGCATCAAGGATTAATTTCAGTAGCATCTGCCAATAAAGCTAGCTAGCATTGACTCTGATCTCCACGTGCTTAGGCAAAAATGTTAACAAAGAGTGATTCTTCCAGTTTAGGCCAGAAACCAAGAGATTGTGAATTCCAATCTTGTCTTGGATGAAAGCCAGCTGGATGTCTTTGGGCCAATCACTCTCTTTCAGCCCATGATGTCAGGCTCAGGCAACAAGCCAGTCAATTCCTGTTACAACCAAATGGATCAACAATGGATTGAACCTAAAAAAATGGATTTGCATGAAAATGCTAGGAAGAAAAAAGTTCTTCAAGATGCTCAAAATATTTGGAGTATTGAAACTATTTTTTGAAATCAGTAAATCAGTTTTCAAACTCATATATCAGATGGAAATGAAGACATTAAATTTTAGCAATAGCTTGGCTGCTTTCATTGAGTACTCTTTTCCACTAGGACAGTGTTTCTCAGCCTCAGTAAGTTTAAGATATGTGGACTTTTAACTCCCAGATTAAATTTTCCCAAGCTGGCAGGGCAATTCTGGAAGTCTGCACATTTTAAAGTTGTTGAGGTTGAGAAACGCTGGATTAGTGATTACAAAGTGAAATATTAGGCTGGATAATATTCTGGGGCTACACTAATGAGTTGGATTTCCTTGGGGAAATGTAAAAAAATTGACACAAAATCCTATAAAATGTTTTTTACTATTTATTCTTCTAGCATGGTGCTTTTTCATTGTGCAGAAATTTAACTTTATGTGTAAAAAATGGAAATATATTGAGGTACCCAAAATAAAAGACAATAAGTATTTTTGTGGAATATCGAATACTTTATGGACATTTTGCTGAAAATGGAAAGAGCTAAGATAATGGTTTTTAAACTGGGCAATTGGAAAAGTATTGAATAAGAAGATGAATTGATTATTGTTATGTTTAAGAGAGAGGAGGGACAATAATTTTGAAGGTAACTGCTGTAATGAAATCAGAAGTCACTCCTTTAATTATCTTTGTTTCTTTTCCTTTATTGTTTCCTGCACTACTTCTTTCTTTCTTTTTATATTTCTTATTTTTCTCTTATTCAAGTAAAAATTCACAATGCAACAATTGAAAACCTCCTTGCAGCCAGGATCCAATGGCACTGGAGGAACAATCTCTGAAGGTACTTTCCATCCACCCACCAGTTCTGAGCATATGGTAGAGCTCAGATGATCTGCCCTTTGGATTGCATTATCCTTATGTGTTATAGCATCATGACATAATGGAAACTGATCCTGGCACATGAAAGCAGACTTCAAAGACCACTGTCAAAAAAGCATGAATAGAATAGAATAGAATAGAATAGAATAGAATAGAATAGGAAGGGACCTTGGAGGTCTTCTAATCCAGCCTCCTGCTTAAGAAGGAGGACCTATACCAGTGATGGAGAACCTTTTAGAGACCGAGTGCCCAAACTGCAACCCAAAACTCACTTATGTATCATCAGGTGACGGGTGGGCATGGCCCATTGGGTGGGCGTGGCCCATTGGGTGAGCATGGCCCATTGGGTGGGCAAGGCTGCAGTGGTAGCGGCAGACTTGGTGGGACTAAAAATTTCAATCAATTCCAACTTTGCGAGATTTTTTTTCCGTGAGAAGTTGAAATTGATTGATAGAACCTTTTTTTTTTGCACATAGCGGCAGAGGCCTAAAGAGAAAAAGTTTTATAAAACCCAGCTGAAGGCCTAGGACTGGGGCGATGACGCACATGCCCACAGAGAGGAGTCTGTGTGCCACCTGTGGCACGCATGCCATAGGTTCGCCACCATGGACCTATACCATCTCAGACAAGTGACTGTCTAGCCTCTTCTTAAAAATCTCCAGTGATGGAGCACCCACAATTTCTGGAGGCAAGCTATTCCACTGGTTAATTGTCCTCACTATCAGGAAGTTTCTCCTTAATTCCAGGTTGCTTCTCTCTGATCAGTTTCCAACCATTGTTTTTTGTCTTGCCCTCTGGTGCTTTGGTGAATAATGTGATCCCCTCTTCTTTGTGGTATCCTCTCAAATACTGGAATACTGCTATCATTTCTCCCCTATTTCTTCTTTTCTTTAAACTAGCCAAATCCAAGTCCTGCAATCGTTCTTCGTATGTTTTAGTCTCCAGGCCTTTAATCAGTGGTGGAATTCAGCCGATTCGCACCAGTTTGGCAGAACCGGTAGCTAATTTTTTGTTGCCCAGCCCCAGAATGGACTTCTGGAAATGGCATCTATACAGAGAACCAGCTGTTCACATATTTGAATTCCACCACTGCTTTTAATCATCTTAGTTGCTCTTCTCTGAATTTTTTTCAAACTCTCAACATCTTTTTTGTAGTATGGTGACCAAAATTGGTTGCAGTATTCCAGGTGTGGTCTTATTAGGGTTTTATAAAGTGGTACTAATACTTCACATGATCTTGATTCTATGCCTCTGTTTTTTTTTTGTTTTAAACAAATTTTATTGTTTTTTTAAATTCTTAAAGCAACATATTCAGGACACACCGTGGTGTTGGGGTAATCAAACATCTTGAAAAAAGACATATTTACATAATATAATCAATACGTCAAATATTCCCTCTCTTTTTCCCTCAAATAGCATAATATATTTAAAATATCCAATTCTAGCTTAAATTTATTCAACCTGAACCTGTTTTTAAGCTTCATCAATTTCTACCATAATCAAATTAACTTTAAATAAAAACATTTTCAATTCAAATATCCCTTCCACATATGTTCTACTTTCTTAATTTTATCAAAATCTTATTTGTTTCTTCTTCCATTACTCTCCCTTATTTAGAGTAAAATATTAATCTATCCTGTACTTATCAGATCTATCAATTGATCTATCTCTTCAAGCTAAAAAATATACCTTAAATCATGTCATTTTATTAAACAAAATTAAAATCTCCAATTAATTATCATGACTAATGTCCATATCATCAGAAAATCACATCATCTTATTAAATTTCAGTTAACTATTAATTCACTTCAAATCTGAAACATCTCTTCAATTTTCATCATTCCATTACATCATAATTTTCATAGAAATAAACCTAACATTCTAAAAGGAACATTCCTAGTATTCTAAATTGTCTTTAATCCCTTATATAGAAAGATATCTCGTTTTTAAACAAAAATATTAATCTATCCTAGACACATCAAAATGTATGTATTTATCAAACTATTCTATAGATATCTAATCCTTCACTTAATCAATCTCTTTGAATTAAATTAATATCAAACCTTAAATCATTTCAATCCTTTAAGTAAAGATTAAATTTTACATGTTATAGGACAAACAAGTCATCTTATTTAATTAACATTCAATTAATTATTGATTCACTCCAACTCTAAGACATCTTTTTACTTCAAACTCAAAATCTCAGTCCTTACATCAGTCCATAGTTCTAGGTTGCCTTTAATCCAATTTAAGAAATTTTAAATTTTATTTTTCAATCTTATTCTAGCTTTCCTCTTTTGCCAGGTAGGTTTCCATAACAGGGCTTCCCTTCCAGATAATAGGTCTCTTTTTGTTGCTTGTAGTGTCACTTGATTCAATACCGACCGTCTTGATCTCTGATTTAATCCTCTGTTTCTCTTGTCCATAAAGCCTCGTTGCTTCAGAAGTCCGAAGTTCAGTCTTTGCTTTTCCTGGTCTTGCTTGTAAGGCAAAATAAGATTACCCTTATCCTCAGTTAAAACCTCTTCTTGTATAATCTGTTTTGCAGAGTAGTCAAGTGTAGTCTGGGAGTCAGTTTTATGTTTTAAAGCAGAGATTCTAGCTCTTAGTTCTGTAGTAGCCTCTTTTATTGTAGTACATATTTCTTCTTTAGCCTTATAGATCTTTTCCAATGTAAGTTTACAGTTTAAGTGTGATTGAGGCTTCTCCATTTTAGCAATAGTTGGAGAAGAGTCCTTTTCCTTTTTAGTGAAGGTTACAGTTGAACATTATCCACCCCCACAGATCACACAGCTAGCTCAAATTATCTTT